CTCGGTCTCTCCCCCTCTGTCCTTCTCTCCCCCTACTCGTCACTCCGTGGTGCAAGCTTCGCGGCTATGGCCGCTGTCTTCTCCTTTGTGGACTGCACAACAACTTCACAGGTACATAACAGCCAATCTTGTATCGCTCATCTCTCTCTCTCTCTCTCTCTCTTCTTCTTCGTCGTGGTTCTCTTGCAGGTGCGCGGCGGCTTCTTCCACCTCAGGTCCGCTATGGCGGACTACTACCTTCGGCGGCCACCTCGGCTATGGCGCATCAGGTCCTGCATACGACGGCGCGCATGGAATAGCGGGTCCCAGCTCCGATACCAATGCAATCAGACTCGTCTTATTCACACTTTTCATGTATGTAAACAGCAGCACAGCACACTAGCTATATGCGCCCACTCAGAACTCAGAGATATGGCTTCCAGGTACGAGTTCACTTCCAACTGGCTATGGCGACTTAGCGCCCAAACCTCTCACTGTTCACACACTGGATCACCCTGGATATCCCACACACGTCACTCTGAACACTCACACATGCACACACACTGGCTGCCTCTAACCTATCGCTATGCTAACTCCTCCTCTCCCGCCCACTGCGTCCTCCGGGCTCACTGCAGACCTCCTTGCACAAGTCGTTGTGGCAGCGCTTCCGCATGGCTCACGCAGGAATCAATGAATGGTTGGGCGCTGCCTCTTGATTTATACTTCAACAGGTCGTTGGTCTGGCCCATTTCCCTTGCCCGAAGTGCACACAGTCCCGTGCGGTACTTGCTGGACTGACTGGGGACTGGGACTGTTGACTCAGCAGGGTAGACTTCCCCCACTTGCCCACTTGCCTCACCACTTGACCACTTGCCTCTGCTTAAACGTGGGCAACTCCGAAAGGCCACTACTGGGACCTTCCGGAAGGCCGTAGACTTGGCCTTTCGGGACTGTAGCAGCTACGATTTTGACCCTTCTGGACTGTAGCAGCTACGACCTTGACCTTTCAAGAAAACTACAGCTACGATGTCTAGACCTGACTAAGACTACTATCCGACAGGTCTACAGATCGAACCCATGCGACCATGGACCCTACGACAACCTATCAGCTGTTACAAATACACAGGTCACGGGTTCAACTCTACAGGCCGACACAGGTACTGTACACAGGTAAGGTTGGGGTCTAGGGATCGAACCCTGGGATCTGCAGCAGCTACTGCTAACTGGTGAATACCGTTTCACATGTTCGATTGGTGCAGTTTTTGTTCTATGGGGTCACGAATGTCCGTCGGGTTCTCATGTTCGATTGGTGTCGTCTTTGTTCTCCCAGGCCGCGAATGTCCATCGGGTTCTCACGTTCGTATACAAGTACATAACTGCCCGATTTTATGCGATTTTTCAAGCGGGTCCCCTACTACTCACATGCACAAAAAAAAATTGAGACGGCGGGGGAGGAGGGGGTGAGCCATCCGGCCCATGTACCACCACCCGCATAGAGAAGGGGGAAAAAAAAAGAAAACTTGGAAGACTGAACCCCCGCTAGTGGGACTTGGCCCCATGTTTGCCCATGATTCCCTTTTTTTTTTGGTGCTGATAAGAGCAGACACCACTACCACCCGGGGAGAGGCTCCATCTATTGGTGGGGAGCATCACCTGCTGGAAAACGGGTCCAGCGTCCCATGAACAGAATGTAATCAGAGAATATCAGGAAAAAGCATGTGGGGGAATCCTGCCAGCATCGATTGCCCTGAAATACAGGGATTGACTGAGCAGAACTTTTAGAAAATGAAACTTTGAAAAACATCTGGAAGAAGAACTGGAAAAAAGCTGGGAAAAAACCTGCTCTGACTGTAACATCAAACCAGCTGTCCTTAATCTGCAGACGCCATGGGCCGAGCATCTGCCCACCCATTTTTGCTGAGAACAGCTACCCTTATGCAAGAAGTGCCAAGATGCTGTGACTGGATGGCGCCTGCCAGCGTTGATTGCTCTGGAACCCAGCCGGTTCTCTTCTTCTTCAACCCTTTTTTCTGCTCTGGACACCGGGAGGAGCCACTGGCGGGGCACCAGTGGGGCCTCCTTCCGTCACCCTTGGGCAGGAAAAAACAAATAAAAGCAGAACGGGTTACGAAGGACTGTGTCATAGACGTATTTCCAAGGACCATGGGTGGGGGGGAAATGGGTCCAGGAACTCTTCTGCGGGCCTCATGGGAACACTCAAATCTATCCGCAGCCAATCTTTGAACCTCAGATGTTAGTCTCTTGGGACTTCTTCTCTTTGACTGCCCTCCCTTCCTTCCTGACCTTCCCAATCACCCGACCAGCACACTTCCGCTACCCATCCCTCCCGGTCTCCACCCAGCCATTCTCTGGAGAACTGTAATAGCCGTTCCCGTCAGAGGCGCTATGGAAGTTGTCGAGCAATTGCGTAGTTGATTTCCACCTATACGAGAGCTCTAGTTGGAAGTGCATTCTGAATCGTTCAACTCTCTCTTCTCCTTCTACCCGTACCTGATCCAAAGTTAGGATGCAGCGCTGCCACAACACCCACAAGATCGTTTTTCGGGATAAATGAAACATGCTAGACAAGAAGGTGCTGTCTTGGAAGGGTGGGTAGTATCCCATCAGAATGGCCCGCCAATCCCACGACCATGGATGCCCCGGGACCATTTGCCGCCACACCCTATCCCACCACCTCCAGGTCAAAATTGTTGTTGGACATTGTAGAAAAATGTGTTCGATTGTCTCTGCTCTTTTCCTAGCCAGGAAGCCCAACAGGCAGCGGGAGCACCAAGGGAGCGCACGGCCTTGTTGTTCCAGCCGAGAGTGATCAATAAGCCAGTCGTTCGTAGGTAAGCATCGGTGCAAGATTTGCCACTGCAATGAGGTGATTTTCGCAGGTCTGCACTTGGAATCACCTTTAGGCATCACTTGACTTTGAGCATTTTATACGTCGCTTTCACCGAGAGTCCCGAAAATGTTTTAGGCTTAGGCTGTCGCGACCTGGATCTATTGGGAGATCTTCTAAGGCTATCTCAGGGAAAAAAGCCCACCGACTGTCTCCTTCCCCAACTACCCTGGTTCTGTGTAGTTCCTCCTTCGAAGTCCATTGGAAGGGGCCCTGGCACCCCACCAGCCCCCGCTACCTGTTATGCTGTACCACTCAATCAACGCCTCATCCGACCGTACTAGATGAACCAGGCCTACCTTGTCTAACTTCACTTCCGTGGACACCCAGTCTCCTTCTTTCAGCACCGGCCCTTTGTGGAGAATGGGCCACCATCCTATCGGGAAAGCCTCTGTTATTTCTTCCAAAGCCGCCCCAACATTGTGGCAATATCTCAATTCTTCCCTCAATTTCTCCGGGCCAATCTTTCTTCTCCCTGTCCCAAAGGTCTCCCACACGGATCACCCCATTCTTCACCCAACCTTTCCATGGGACATCGGAACTGCAGAAGATTTGACTCCATTCGTTAGTAATCCAACGGTTACCAAAGAGAGGTTGTCTTGCCACCTCCTCCCACCTATCTGGAGGTGGGCGATTCGGGGGGGGGAGCCTCCTCCAGATTTTTAACATGCGGGGCCAGAAGTCATCCGTCCGCCCCTCCCCTCCCCTGCGCCGCCGTGGCACTCTCCAGTAGCGATCTTCTATCCATCGGAGAGGGTGAATGGATTGAGGGGCTGCAGGGGCCAGACGGGCGATTTGTGCCAGCGCCAACAACCTCCATACTAATGGGTTTTCAAAAATCAGTCGTACCACCCACCGTAGACTAAGGGTTTGGGATTGTGTGAGGGGGTCAAGAATACCAAGGCCTCCTTTTGTCTTGGGTTCGATAACTGAAGCCCAAGCCACCCGACTGATAACATGGGGGGTTTCACTGTCCCCTCTCCATAGGTACGCCGCCACCTTCCTTTTCAAGATCTTCAGGGGCCCTAGGCTCAGTGGCCAAAGTACCGATTTGTACCAAAGGGTGGCTAGGACCACATTGTTAATCACTAGCGCTCGTTTGAAAAGTGACGTGTGCTGATCGTTCCATTGAGAAAGTTTGGCGA